ATCAAACATGTAAGGTTAACATATAAGTTTCAAAGCTTTCTACTGTTCGATTTCAATAACTGTCTTTCTGAAAACAATCTCATGAACTTGAGCTGTCTGTAATAAATACAAACTTGCTAAAGAATTTCTTGTTGTACTATGATAACAAATTTATCTTTTACTTAGATTTAGTTACAATGTTCACGTACACACACTGCTTTCCACCATTGCTTGAAAATATTATTAGAAAAATATAATTTCAAACAAAGTAAAATGTTTGAAATTAGCTGAGAAATTCATGCTGTGAATACATGAGACTTACTCATAACTGCATTCCACTTTATCATATAACTGAACTGCATTCTGTTATAACACTTTTAGGATGAAACTGCTGAAAAAGTCTTCAGACAAAAATATCAAGTTATAATAAAAATTGTATTCTGGAAGTAAGAGTTATGTTTTATTTATTTGAGAATGTATTGTCAAATATAAACTTCAATTAGCATTAAGTAAAAAACACATTAACCATTGTTAAAAAGACACTGAGAAGGTAGAGAACTGTTAGTAATTTATACAGTCAAACTACCTTATGAGCTTGTTCTTAGGTTGCTTTGATGGTCCTCAGTTTTGGTGATTGTTAGGATTGGCATAAGGTAATGTAGTTCTAAAGAGAATTCTTCAGTTTTCTTTATTTCTGTTTCTTGATTGATTGATTCTATTTTGTTCCTGGACCATTGCTACCCATAGAATGCTGATCTCTAACTTTAAATTTCTTTTCAGTTTTTCTATATTTTGGTCTCAATGTATTCTTTAATCTTGCTTTTCTTATTATTTGCTCTCAATAATTCTACAGTTTTTCCTATCTATTTTATATCTTATTGTAATATGGTGTTGACCAATAGCTGATGTACAGATTTTCATCAGTAAAACAACATATTTAAGCTTGTTAATGCATTATTCTAGAAGTCTGTTCTTTGTAGATAGTTCCCGTGTTTCTCAGATGAGGAGTAAGCTGTTTTACGAAAGTATGTAAAAGTGCACATCTCACAGCTTTTTTACAGTTGTATTCAAAATTTAATTAAACTATTTTATTATTAATATATGTCAATAAAATTGGCATAGAAAATAGTTAATAAATCAAATCTTAATATTATTTAAGTTTTAATTTAAAAAAAAAAATACTTAACCTATTGACTGCTGATTCTCCATTTCGGGTGCGGGCTGCCTCCTGCAGTTGAATGCGAGTGTGATGTATACAGTGTACAGCTCGTAAAAATTCCACGTGCGTTTAAAGTAGCTGCAGTCAAAGGGTTAAGTTCTCAGTCTTCACTTTTATGTATTATGTGACACTTGTTCAACCAAGTTGCACAATGTAGATAATTTTTCATCTCCTATTTGAGCTTGAATTTTAATTCAAATTACAAACTTATAGATATTGCTTAGACATAATCTAAAGTTTTACTTGAAATAAACCTGAAGTTCAACCTACATAATGTCTTTCACAAGATGCCAATATTTCTCTTTGATGTCTGCTATTACAGTATTTGTAACCAATAAAATGAAAATATTTTAATTAACTGATTTATATATAATGCTAGCTATTTCATGTGACAGCTTTTGAATTATTCCACAGACAGATTCAAAGTTGCTGTCACTGAGTTCAGTTCGACCAGCTATGATAATTATTTTAATACACTCATAGCTTACTTAGAAAGTCACTTAAATTATAATAGTTATAGGATGTTATATGCGTTATTATTTTGTGTTCTAAGTTGAATATTTGAAATAAATAAAATTCAGTAAAACAACTCTAGCTAAAATTAGGGTTAACTTTTGTTGACACCTCGAGTCTTCAACTAAAAAAAGTACAAGACTCAAGTGTATGTACTAAATTTCTTGTTTTTTTATGTATATTTTTCATTTGTTGTTATAAAAGTAACTAAAATGTCAAAATTATAAACTTTAATATTAAGTTAAATGAAAAACAAAATTAAATAAAAACATAAATTAATTTCTCTGAAAGAAGCTCATGCATTACATAAATCATTACTGTAACTTTTACTAAAAACTTGATATTCATTAGGAGGTTCTAGAGATTATTTAGATGAAATTTGAAAGCTGTAAGATGAAAAGAGTATTTTTAATCTTAACATGAAAATTGTTTTACACTGAGACTAGTCAGAGTTTGAGTCAGACTGACTCCATCACATTGTAAAGGTGCACTTACTAAATTAAAAGTTATAATCTGTATAGTTTCATGGTGGCTGCAAGATTGGTAAAAATGTCCAAGCTCATATGGAGAGGGTCAAATTGCTTTATATGGTATTACTAAATGTAAAGCAAACTTAAAATTGAAAGTTTCTGTAGATTTTCTGAATATTGCAGCTTAATTTTGGAAAAAAAACAGAATATTGATTCTGGCTTGTGGTTAAGTTTCTTTAGAGGAGTTTGTTATTCTGGTAGCTTATTTGATGAAGTGTGCTACATAACCACTGGTTATGAAGATGGATATCTTCATTTAACTATAAACGAAGCTTTCTACAAATACATTTTGCTCTGCTGTACTGACAAACTAACCCCTTTTTTTACTATGACTGAATTTCAGGTACTTGTCTGGGTGTGTCAGTTATATTTAGATAAGGTATTATATATAGTCCTGAAGTTATAATCTTGACATTCATATTTTTTTTTTATGGCACCTTGACTGCAATTGGCTGTCTGTGGCAGCTGCTGACCTTTTCTTGGGGTCCTAGTCAGCAACAAACTGTATAAATCACTTAGAAATATAGTGTGAACAAGTACCTCACTAGCTGTAGATTTGTTGTTTTAGTATATTCATTAGGAAGTATGTCATTACAATAATGTTTATAATTATCAGCAAGAATCCCAATAATAAATTTCCATGGTCTGGAATCATTCAGTCACTTAATCAAGATAAAAGCCTTTTTGTTCAAAGTTTTAAGAAGGCTGGCACTAGAGCATATAAAATATTTTTGTCAAAAATCTTACTATCATACAGATTCAATGTAATCTTAGATGTTGATTTTATCCTTTTATTCTTGTAAATTTGTTTGTTTTATATTATTTTATGTAGAAATTATATTTTAAGGTGTTGATTTGTATATTTCTTGGGCAAAAACTTTGACATTTCACTGGATAAGTCACTTCTGAAAGCTCATAAGCTTTCCTAATTGTTGCAAAAATTGTTGATCTCCTGTTTTATATTTGAACTTTATATCTGGGTGATTCTGTTCATGCTTTTTACTGAAATTAATTATATACATAAAGAAATATACATTTATATATATATAACTGCCAATAAAATTTATTTAACATCTTAATAAAAACATACAAGAACCAATATAATAAAAAAACAATCTCTAATATTTAAATAGTACAAAAAATAACTCAAATATAATATATTTTTAATATATCAAAAAGTAAACAATGCTGTAGCTTGTTGTTTCAAACACATGTGGAGTTTTCTTGTAAGGAAAAATTAAACCTTCTTTAGTGTTTCTCTGTACAGTATCGGTGGAGAAATATACAATAGCCAATATAAAACAAGTACAATTTTTGAAATTTCAATGCACAAAAATATTTTCAAGCCACACTTATGTGAAATACTGTATAATCTGTACTCCTAAAAAAATAAAAAATCCTAAACTATATACACAAAAACCTTCACCAAATCTAACTTTTTAGAAAAAAATGCCTAAGAAATGTATTTACTAACAATAAAAAAGATCACTTTGTTAAGTTTGACATATTTTACATAGAAACACTGAAAAAACAACTACTAAACTCACTTTTTGTCTTGCTTAATTGATTTAAGTAACTAATTTATAAGACTAGCAATTTACAATTAATAATACATACAAGTTAAAAAATTTTGAAGATAGAGATTTTTAAGTTTCGGTTGTTGATGGAGTTTTAGAAATACTAAAACTCATAATATAATTTAATATTTAGTAACTCTAACAATTTTGATTATTAAACATACCAAAATTTTTGGCCTAAATGTGTATGATAATTTAACTCCTCAGAACATATGCTAGCAAATTGTCTTTTAGATATACACAAAAATTTTAGTAAAGAGACTAACCCTAATTTTAATGATATAATGATATTCCTACATTTTGCATGACATATAAGGTATGAGTAATAGGAAAAAGAAAATTAGTCTTAATATAACACAGTGAATGTTTAAATATAGAACTCTTTAACAGAGAAATAAACTACAGAATAAACACATTCAATATTAACTGTCTCATTTTCTTTTACTAAAACCAGTAGATCAGTTCATGGTTGCAGCTTTATCAGCAGCTGACGAAAATGCTTTAACCAAAAGACTTACACTCTAAATAATGGTATAACAAATGTTTATCTCGAATTCCATTTACAATAATAAGCAATGAAGTTATAACAAGCTCTTTATATGTACTTAAATTTCTTAAATTCTGAAAAAAAAGAGCAGAACATAATTGTAACAAATACTCATATTACTACTATGCAGAATATCTTAGAGTAATCCAATTTTTATTTTTTAATGAAATATTAAATGTATTAAATATCAAGTATTTTATATGTAAATACAGCTAATACGGCTATAGAAAACTTTCATTTGAAAAGCACAAAACAAATAATGTTTTGACCTCCTTAGGTCATCACCATTAGGTCAAGGAGGTTGAAATGTTATTTGTTTTGTGCTTTTCAAACAAAAGTTTTCTATAGCCATATCAGCAGTCTCTACTATATATATTTACTTCAAGTGGGTTCCTTGTCATCATGAATCAAGTATTTTAGTTCCAAATTTCATAGACATGGTAAAACATCTTTAATGACAAGCTTTTCAATTTAAATAATCTTGAGGTGTGATATATGTAACACATACTAGCTGAAACTTTTGTTATGTACCTTGGTTCATGTGAAAAATATTTTTTTAAGATGTTTCAATAGCTATGAACTAAGAAAACACAAGTCATATTAAACAATTTACATACAAAGAAACCCTTCTTTTCATTTCAGGTAATCTTACACTTAGTATTGCAAATATACTCAGTTAAAAGATAGTGGTTATTAAGCATCACATAAAAGTATTCTTTGTCTAAGTTTGTTCACTTAATTTGATTTCCATATGTAAAAAAGTAACAGTTCACTGATCTATGTAGAATAAAAAAAAATTAGGAAGTTCTTTTGAAATGAATATGAAAGATAATTTAGCAGGACCAAACCTCTACAAAAAGTATATTGAAATGAAAAAACATGTGACACATTAATCCAATTCCTGATACCAAACGTAAAAGTAAAACAATAAATAAATATAACAGCAAAAAAGTAATAAATTTCTGACTCCTTTGTCCAATTAAAAAAATAAAAATTGTTATAGATCATCTTGCTTAATAAACAAGTATATATTTACAGTGTGCTTAACAGGGAATTCTGTCTCTCAAATATTCTAGAAGAGCTAGAGTTCCTTTTGCCAGAACTGATGGTCGAGGATTGCGGAAAGGGTTTCCTTCCAGTTGTAAAGACCTGGAAGGTACAATTTAAAATATGTCTACATGTCTTTTAAAAACACTGAACTTAAAAAAATACTACTGCTATTTTAAAGATGTAGCAGTAAAAGACAATTTTCTTAAAAGTTTTCTAATAAACTGACACTATCCCTGAGTTTAAGGAGTGGATTTAGTGTATAAAGGGTTGAAGCCTTTTATGAAATAAAAAGATATAAATAATATGTTTACTTACTTAATCCATATTTTTTCATAATTATTATGGTATCATATCATATAATACCCTAGACAGTTACATAGAACCTGATTTAACTTCTAACAGATTACAAAGAAAAAGAAAATATATTCAGTGAGAGACATTTTTATAAAATTGTTTATCTAACTTTTAACTGTCTGGATGCATTGATTTGATGTGCCTATTGTAAGTTTTATTGCATAGCAAAAGAGGAAACTACTGGTGAACTTGTTGAAAACTGCACATAAACTTCATACAGATTATGTAGCATCTGCAAATGAAATATCTTATTTTTATGAATTCAATTTTGAAAATTCTAAAAAAGTTGATAGTAATATTTTTAAAGAAACAATGTCAAATGCTTACCATGGACTTATAATTTAATGGCTGATTTTTATGTCTTTCTACATTCTTATAAAAACTTTATTGTAAGTTTTTATTTTATCTTTGTTTTGATTTGAAAAATGCCACATTCAGTTTCAATGTGCTTATAATCACTTGCATACAATAAAAAATAATTTTTTTACCATATCAAAATTATACAGAGACATCTCAAAAGTAAATAGACACCATGATGTTTTTAAATAGTCATTTATCTCGCATTATCAATTTGACAAAAATGTTTACAAATGTGCATCAATACTTAGACGATTTGCCACTAGCATTTTTCAGTGTTTTGACTCGTTCTGGTATGGAATCGATGAGTTTTGCAATTTTCTCCTGTACGATCTTGACCCAGGCTGCATGCAAAATATCGAGTAGCTCTCCATGGGATGCTGGTTTTCTGGAACTTCTTCTCACTGCTTGAACAAGTATGGCCCAAACATGCTCAATGTAGTTCATATCACGTGACTGACTTGGCCATGGGAACCGTTGGATGCCTTTCTTAATTA